TTGGTTCCTAGGTTAGTATTGCTCATATTTATCTCTTTTTTAAATTTAAATTTTATTTGCCTTCGGTTTGTGCATATTATGTTTACCCTATTATATCCACTGTTAAAGTGTATTTCTATAATGAGGTATAGAAATTTAGTTGTATTTCCGTAACTTTAAGGCTAGACGTGCTTTCCTTCACTCAGAGTCTTGATTTCCACAAAGTATTTAAAATTCTGTATTGGCTCTGATACTAAGGTTTTTAAACAAAAAGCAATTATTAGAACTCATTCGTCTACTAAACCTCATCAGAACCTATAATCTTGTTTCTAAATAAATTAGTTGGAAAAAGCAATAAGGTAGTTTCTTATGATCTGTACAAACTTTAAGATATACTCTCTTTTACATAAAGGAATCTCTGAACAAAATTCTGTTTTGCTCATTTGGTATCCACAGTTTCTTACCTTTTATGTGAAATTTTGTTATGACCTATATATTTATACTAGTATGCTTAAAATATTGAGATATTTCTGGAACTAGTTTTGTTACTCATCTTACAATAAGTGAGCATTGTGTCTTTATAAGTACAAACCCATACATGGCACCTATATCATGGAGTATTATTGGAAATTTCATTAAAAGGTATTCATTTCAATTATGTTTTCAATTGATATTCTGTTAATGGCTTTTGGGAAATTCCATCTAATGAAGCGTATTAATCTTACTAGGTGATTTTTTTTCTCATCATACTACCTAGCAAGTGTCTTCCGCCTAGTAGGCCCACAATAAATATTCATTTAATGTACAATATTGCTGTTTAAAAGCCAACTGCAGCCTGAGCTTTATTCTTCACAGTAAAGCAAAGCTTTATTTTTATGTACAACTGAACTAAAATGTCTAAGTAATGATTAAGAAATTTTCAGATAAATTGGTTTCTTTAAAGATTTTCAATAGTTGGAATTAATTAGCTGAAATTAGGTGAAAAGGTTTTATTTACTGGGTAGTTTATTATTGTCTGTATTTAAATAGCTCTCAAATGTTAACCACCTTTCCATGTAAAAGTAATCATTTTCTTAGAAAACAGACTTTAACTTAGAATCAACCATAATTAATATTATTAATATTGTTAGATACACTTAATTGTTTAAAAAGTTTAGTTTGATAATTCTGGAATTTAAATTATATGTAATCTAAATTTTTTAATCTTTTTAAAAATCAAGGCCTAATATTTACTTAAAAGGGTTTAGTTTAGTTAATCTTGTATTTGGTTTCAGAGCTTCTCCTTTCGCTATAAAACTGATATATACGGGCTGGATTTACACTTTGGGGGTAAAAAAACTGTAATTACCAGTAGAAAAATATATCTAAAAGATGCCTTTAGATCCTCTGGGCATTACATAAACCTCAAAAACATTTCAGAGTTGGACTATTTTTTTCCATGATAGAACAATACTTAAAGGTGTTATACTTTTGACTTTTCAGAGTATCATCAATATAATGTAAGAGCAGGAGTGTCAGGTCCATGTTCCCCTTTTTTTTTTTACTGACATGGAAGATTTGCATTTCTGTTATAATTAAAGTGCGGTTAAAGTGACATATTTAAGTGTCTGTTTATAGGATACAATAAGGTTATCTGAGTGAAAAGATTCTGGACATGGAAAAGAGGAAAATCAGTTTTTAAAATGGAAGAGAACCTTCCAAGAAATGAATCACATCTTGGACTGAAAAAAAAAAGAAGAATCAGAAATTAAACTGAATTGCTAAATACTATTTGGACCAAAGCTTACTTTTTAAGATTTAAATGTTTTCCTCTCTCAAAGGGGCCACTGCTTACCAAATCCAGAAACAAGCCCAAGAATATGTTAATTAACTGCATTGTGTCCCAGAAAGAATGAAGTTGACAAATTCATTTTTTAATTCCTTCAATTAATAAACTGCTTGCCTGGTACATCTTCGATTTTTAAAAATCTATAGTGTATATATTTACCTCTTGAAATTGTACAGTAACAGTGCCAAGGGCCACCATGGCCCCATAGGGTGAATCTTATGAAGCTTAACATTCCTGACGAATTAAACACACAAACCTCCGATCATTTTTGGTCAGTCTTACTTTACTGTGACACGTAAGAGCCTGAATGTAGGTAATTTTTATATGGTGGCAATTTACCCCAATTATAAAAGCAATGGTCTTTGGTGCAAGCACAAATGGAAAATATAATGACAGAAAACTAAAGAAAGGTATTACAAAGACTGACCTGGAATGCTGCGTGTCCCCTCTCCATCCCCACCCCCATTCATGCCCTTTTTTCCGACCATTTGTTGTTTTTCTCACAAGTATATCATGACTTGTAACATTTTTTAATTTAAATGAAACCCCCAAATGCCTGAAACACTAAAAGTTGTAAAATGATTTACCTTCTACCATCAACTACATGGCAGATAAACTTATAAAGCTATTCTAAATATTCAAAGACATAAATAAAAAATGTAAATTGAATCCAAGTAGCTGGGGAGGGGGACCATGGGAGGATGAGTGTGGGAGGAATGAACAGATTGACAATATCTAATTTTCAACATCAATTATTTTCTCTTCAAACCTTTCCATAGTTACACCTCAAATGATTTCTTTTATAAGAATTTCTCCCTATACTCCAAAATAACTGAATGATTTCCATGAGGAAATGCAAGTTTAGGAAAAAGATACGCAAAATGAAAGTGTTAAAAATGCAAACCACCTCTATAGCATTTCAAATGCAAAATCACAACCACCACTACCTTTAACTGACTCTTAAGGGTTCTTTTCAAACAGATGCTATTTATGAACATCATCTGTTAACTTCTTCCTTGTAATTCAAAACTCTTGTCAAATGATGTTTTCATGATGACGTGTAAATATAATATTCCATTAGAGATCAATTCTAATTGGTTTTTAAAAATCCACCTTGGGAAACAGTGCGGTATAATACACAGACTAGTAATGGGTATTTTAGAAGAAATTTCAGCAGTCTATTATAAATCTAGGTCGAAATTACTCTCTTGCCCTACTAAGGCTTGGGCCAGAGGATTGACATTATTTCTTCGTGAGTTTTCACACTCAATGACTTTGGTCTTGTCTTCAAGACTCGCGAGCACTTGTTGGAAATCTTTATTTTTTAAAACTGTGACGTTTGCCAGAAATATTTTTTTCCACATGCCTCACAAAGGAAAACAAGCAGAGTTTCGTAGGTGGCTTACAATGATTTCTTTCCGAAACGTGGTCTAAGAGCAAATGGCACGTTTTTCCCTTTTGAATTTCACTGTTATTCTGAAAATGCATTTCACGTTAAGAAGCCAAGCCCGTTTTTTGTTAGGAGTAGCTCAACCCAGCCTTTTAAAATTAGACTCCTCGTATACAACAAAGAGCTGAATAATAACAAATAGAGACAGCTAGTGTGCTTTTCCGCAATCCTTTGAACCCCGACATTCATTTTCGAATACATACATTTCAAGAGATTTTCAAATAGGATATGATCGGCTCTAACTTTCCAGATCCAGGGGGAAAAAATGCCCACGTTTGTCTCTACCTAGTTATCACTTTCAAGACACATCTATGCTGCTTTCCCTCCTCTTTTCATGTGCGGGAAGCAAGCTTGCCCAGCTTCCTCCCATTTAGCGGCACGTTGTAAAGCCTCCCTTCCATGTGGTCTGGAGTTGGGAACCCCTCGCTGGCCAGCACTGATCGTAAAACTTGCCGCGCCGACCCGACCGGGCCCAAGCGTCGGAGTTCAGGGAGGCGGGGGTGCGGGCCGAGTCGGGCCGCGGGACCCCTCCCTCGGGAGGACGCGCCGGCGAACCGCCGCGCGAGGGCTGAACAATG